CCAGCTAAACAGCTGGCAGTGACTAATAGGAACGTCCCAGCTAAGGCGTGAGCCTAGTAAGACAAGCTTCTACCGTACTGGATGAAGTCATAAATGCGCATAAAAACCATCAAGGGTTCTGAACGTTCCGTGCAACTGTGCTGAGTGTTTAGTTTTGCAGGTTCTTATCAGTGTACTATCCAGATAAGGGTAAAGTAAGGTCAAAAGTAAAGGTAAGCTAAAGAAGGGTAAGGTGAAGTAAGTAAGCTAAAGAAAGGTAAGGTTAGATAAGATAGTGTAAGGTATGGTAGGACCTTGTCAAGATAACTTTTCGATACAGAATGCTCAGTAATAGTGAATTAATACAGTAAAGAAGATTAGTGTAGCTACGGTAGAGTAAGGTAGAACAAGGAAGATGCATGGAAGACTAAGGTAGAGTAGAAAAACATAAAGTAGGGTGGTGTAGGGTAAGGTAGCAAATATAGAGCTAAATACTAGATGACTAATATTAGAGTACGGTAAACTTACAGTAAAGCTATACCCAAGTCAATTTAACTCTGAAGCTAGGTTTGATAATCTCTAAGGTAAGGCTAAAGCTATGGTAAAACTACAGTAAAGCAACGAAGCTACGGTAGTACTATATTAAGAGTAGAGTTAGAGCTAAAAACTTGTAAAAACAACAGTAAACTTGAAAAGCTACGGTAGTAATATAGTACTATGCTGAAGCAAATGTAAAGCTTAAGACACAGCTAGAGCTTTAGGCTGGGCTAGGGCTCTGGGCTAGGGTTCTGGGCTAGAGCTCTGGGCTAGGGCTTTGGGCTAGGGCTCTCGGCTAGGGCTCTGGGCTAGAGTTCTGGACTAGGGCTCCGGGCTAGGGCTCTGGGCTAAGGCTCTGGACTGGGGCTCTGAGCGAAGGCTTTGGGCTAGGGCTCTAAGATAGGGCTCTGGGCTAGGGCTCTAGTCTTGGGCTAGTCAAACTCAATTTAAAATGACATTTTAAAGAATAAAAAAACCAAAAGCGCTAAGAAAAACAGTAATTTCAATTCAAAAACAGTAAAGAATACTGATTTTGTTGTTCGTTTCAAAAAACGCATATACTCTTATGCATATAAATATATTCGAAATACTATAATAGTATGTACACATATACCTATTACTATGTAAACAAACATATAAAAAGAGTGCGGTTTTGGCTTTAAAACTTTTATGGTCAAACTTAATAGTAAAATGTAAAAAATATTCCAAAAAGTTTTAAAAATTAAATTTTGTTACCTAAAATTAAACAAAATTAAATTTTGTTATTTAAAATTAAAAAAATTGTATTTTGATACCTAAAATATAAAACAATTATACTTTGTTACCTAAAATTTTTAAAAAAATTGAATTTTGTTACCTAAAATTCAAAGAAAATTGCACTTTTCTACCTAAATTTTATAAAATTGTAGGTTATCACCTAAAATTTAAAAAACTAGTAATATATTAAAAAATTTAAGTGTACATATGGCTTAACACAACAATTTTTTAAACATCTTTATAAAAGAGTATAATTAGCCTCTATTCAAGTGTCATTACCCATGTTTTTCAATAAAAAAACGCTTGTTTGTTACCAAATGTAAGCTAATACTGTTTAGTTTGTTTGCACTCATTTAGCACTGTAATACAATATATTTTCCAAATTTTCAACATATTTAGTATCTTGCATACAAGGGTTTAAGAGTTTTTATGACAAATTATAATAGTTTTGACATAAGCGTAAAATAAATGAACACATTATGTAGAGAACATGAGAGAGTAAACTTTGTTTTGTGGACATAGTTACAGTGAACAGAATGACGTATGTCAAGGCTAGAATAGAATCGAGCTATGGCAAAACTAGAATGGAGCAATGCTATAGGCATAGCCTGAGCAAACTTGAGCTGGGGTAAGCCTAGAGTAAGATTAGACCCGACCTAACAAAGCTTGTAAGTTTTGACTAGAGAAAAACAACTAAAAAGCAAGACGGAGCTACGGTAAAATTTACGTAAGAGGAGATCAAGGTCAGGAAAAAGCTAATGCAAAGCTATGATAGGGTAAGTGTAAGACTAGAATAAAAATTAAATACTAATAATGATAGAGTAAGGCCATGATAGGCTTGGGTAGTGCCCAGGGCCGGGCGGGGACTTTTGGTCTGGGGGCAGGGGTCCAAAAAATCGGCACGAAAATCCACAAGGGGACCACGTTCAACATTTTTCAAAAATTTTCTTCTGGGGGGGGGGAGGGGTACCCCCCCCATCCCCCCCCTCGCGCCCGGCCCTGGTAGTGCCAGTGCAGAATTACATTATGGCTAAGTACGCGCTACGGTAGGAGTACGAAAAAGTTACTGTAGGGCTAGAAAAAAAGAAAAAAATGCTAGTACAAGGCTAGGGTAAGGCCAGAATCAGGGGCGGGCGGGGACTTTTGGTCTGGGGGCGGGGGTTGAAAAAATCGGCACAAGTAGCTGTGCCGATTTTTTGCGAAAAATTTTTTCCAAAAAATCCACAGGGGGGGGACCACGTTCAACTTTTTTTTGAAAATTTTTTTTCTGCGCGGGGGGGGGGTCCAGTATTTCCGCCAACGTTCCAATCTCGAATCTAAAGTATGAAAAAAAATGTTTAAGGCTTTGGACAAAAACCGGCTTTTGGAGAGCACTTATGCCCCAAAATGGGATTTATCCTGGCCGAAAAAGACACATGAAGAAGATTATGAGAACAAAAAACAAACAGTTTTGTCGAGATTGTGGTCACAAGGAACGGAAACGCTTATTGCCTTTTTGGTGCCTATCATTGGCAGCCTGTGTCAACATACTTATTCAGCATGTACAACATTGAACGCGGGGGGGGGAGGATAGAATAGCGGTGTGTCTAGAGGGAAGAATGGGGAGAGGGAGAATGTGATACAATGTGAGTGTGGGGGGGGGGTGGGTGAGAAGGGGGAGGGGAGGAGAGGGGGGGGGGTGAGGAGGGGAGGGGGGGGGGAAGGTGAAGGGGAGAAGAAACTGGGATAGGGGTGGGGTAAATATGACAATAAAAGAAGGGAGAAGGGTGGATAATAAGTTGGAAGGTGGGGGAAAAAGGTGGGATGAAAAGACGCAGTAATGAGACGATCGGGGGGGGGGTAGACATGGGGAATGCGCCGGGCCGGGCCTGAGCAAGTAAAAATAAGTAGAGAGGGGGGGGGGTGGATAATAAGGTAGAAGGAAGGGGGGGGGGCGGTTGGGAGGAGTGGTGCAGATGTAAACAGAGAAAAGTGTTAAACAAAGAAAAGTGTCACAAATTGTTTCAAAACGCAAAACGCCTTTATTAAAGTTTTCGAAATTTTTTTGTCATACATTATTCCTATACCATGTATGTCATATGGTAATTAAATAACCTGGTCTTTTTATGATCTATGACATCAATCAAGCCAATTTTAGGTCAAAAAGTACATAGAAAAACCAAAAAACATAACATAACATTAACGTATTGCCAAATTCTACAAACTTTTTGACCGTTTTAAAACGTCATTTTTTAAAAATTAAAGTCATAATTAACAGCAAAATTTGAAGTACACGTGCTACAACACCCAATGAAGTAAAAATAACCATCTTTTTAAAAGTCTTATGTTTTTGGTTGACGAGGAACAGTCTCCTTGACAGTGCGACGTTTGAAAAACTGTCAAGTTTAAACGTCTTCAATTGGTGAGTTTGAATACATCATAGCACAAAAACAATGCAAAGGTCGAAAAAAAAACTTTTACTAATTAAAAAATGTAAATACCTTGCCCTACCTAACTCTTCTCTAATCTTATATATACTCTACTTAATTTAGCTTTATTCCAGTTCTAGTTTTACTGTATTTTTGCATTAGTTTTTTCTTTCTACGACTATATGTTGCCACTATTACCTACGGTAGTAATAGTAAAGCTAAAATTAAAAATGGGAAACGGGCCGAGCCTGAGCAAAATTTTAGTCAAGCCGGGCTTGGAAATCATGGAAAAACCCGGCCCGAAAAGCTCATTAAAGTCTCGCCCGTTCCCACGTAACAAATCGAGACGGCTTGGACCGGGCCTGAGCAAAACTTAGATCGGGCCGGATCAGACTCAATTTTCAGTTTCCATATCTAGCCAGAATACGGCAACACTCTAACTTTCTTCTGCCTTTACTCTTCTCTTGCCATGATGCTACTGTGCTTTTGCTCAAGTTTTTTTTGTTCAAGGCTCAGTAGTACCTTCATTCGTGTTTATATTACTCTAACTCAATTTTTATAAGTGTTTATGTTTCCAAATCTTTTTTTTATCATCATATTTAACATTGATTTGTATAATAAAATCAAAATATATTTGTAGAATCACAGCTCGACAGTTTTTTCCGAAGTGGGAGAGGCTGGGAGGAGGAAGAGGAAAGATAGTAAAGATCAAAAATTTTGAAGAGAGGAGGGGGGGGGGAAATAAATAGGGGAGGATGGAAAAAGCCAAAAAGATTTTTTATTAATAAAAATAAATTTTCTTAATTTTTTTTTGAATTATGATTTTTGTATATCGGCAGAAGGGTGGTGGATTAGCCCTCCTTCATTCCCCCCTCTACGACTCACCGTCCACCTCTTTCTGTCGACGTTCTTGTTTAGGATGGAAATTGTTTAAGTTGTACTGACTTTGAATTTTTTAAAGAAATGACAGCACTATTTTTAAAATGGAAAAAAATTAAAAATTTTTTTTATATTTAAAATTTTTATGAAACTTTTTTCAAAAACAAAAATTTTTTATAAAACGTATCCTTTATAAAACCAGTATTTGCCTGAAAATCTTCATTTACTTCAAACTTTAATAATATCCATCTCTATATCGAGTGTCAACAGTAATCTTCATAGCCTGAGGGGGTTAAAGTGAGTTATTAAGTTTTTGGGATTTCATAAATGGGCTGGCAGCTGCCCTAAAAGCGGCTTTATATGCGCGACATTAATGGGCGTCTCTCATAATTTGCATCAGCGAGAGAGTACGCATAATGACGAGACCGTTTCTGAGAGAGTATGGGAACTGAAGAGACGAGCAGTGAGAGAGTGCTGGGATTGAAGAGACGGTTAGTGCTTAAAATGATGAGACAAATTTCGAAAAATTATGCGATTTGAAGAGACAAAATGTCGCTGCGGGCATACGGTGCCTTCGAGGCATTTGGCCCCACATTCCAACGGAGACTTCGCCTCGGGCCACGTCGCGGGCTAAAGCTACAGACCGAAGGGTACGGTAAGTGGGTTGTGACGTAGATAACTTGTTAACAACTACTGTATTTTAAATACCACGATCTATAGAATTGAAATATGTAATTTAGAGTAAGGTAGGGTAGCATAGAGTACGGTAGTGTACGGTAGCTTAAAGAATAGTAAAGTACAGTAGGGTAAGGTAATATAAGGTGAGGTAGAATAAAATAAGGCAATTTTGAAAACTTTTTTTAATTTTAGGTAAAACTTGAAGTTGCAATGTCAAAGAACACTCGCCAACAGACAGCTGGTTACAATAATGTTCAAGAAGGTAGTACCAGTAACAACACATTGTGGCTAAACAGACCTAGTGGCAGTTCTGATACTAATCCAGCTGAGGTAAGCCCACGAGGAAATAGGCAGGTAGAAGGCAAAGAAAAAGTAGAAGTAAACAAGGCTATCTTTAATACATACAGCTCTATGGTTATCATTCTTATTTGTTACAGACTGATCTTAATCCAAATTATCTTTTTTAACTCTCAACGTAACTTTTTTTGAACCTACTCTACTTGTTGTACCTCAACGCCACCCTAGCCCTATTTAAACGCAGCTTTAGTCCTGACTTATTCTGACTCTAGTACTACACTAGCCGGATACTAGCCTTATTTTATCTTTATTTTAGTTTTATCCGAGCCTTGCCTTACCCCTTACTTTCTATCCTTTCTCTAGCCATATCATAGCTCAGTCTTATTGCTACGGTAATTCTCTTTTAATTTTACTTTAGCCTTAATCTAGCCTTACTCTAGTCTTGTTTTAGCCTCACTCTAGCCTTAACATAGCTTTCTCATAGTTCTTACCTAGCCTCGCCTAAGCGATACAATAACTCAACATATCGTTATCGTTTAAAATCAACACAATCAGTACAATAATCTACTCTATCTCTTCACTGTTAGCATTTTTATAAAAGTAGCATGTCACAGTCTTTACCTTAACATACCACAGTCTTTAGCATTCCAAATTGTTTACATACTACAGTAAAAAGTTTTGGTTGTTTTTAAAAATTATATTATTTCAGTTTCCAACGACAAGTTTAACCTCATTTCCCGGCTACACAACTTCAAATTACTTGACTTATCCGCTGCAGACTGAATTTCCAGAAGGTTATACTTCCACCAACAACTTTTTTCAATGTACCGCCTTACCGTATGCTTTGAATTACCCTACTGAAGTGGCAGTACATAGGGTTAAGGGTAATGAGGATGAAGATGCTTCGGTAAGATGAGTTTACTATAGTAAAACGTAGAGTAGGGTAGGGTAAAGTATGGTACAGTACTATACTTAAATCCTACTGTAATTAAACTTACAGTATCAGTAGTACCACTCATAGCCTCATAATTCCAGGAATACTCTGAGAACTCGACCGACGCCACCTCCAGAAGCCCATCGACAGACTCGTCTCGCAAAGAGAATCCGACCTATTATGCTGAAGTTAAACCTCTACCCTACCCAACCATAGCCCCACATGGCTATATATCACGTTCACCGTTCGAGACCTTTTGTACTGTGCCAGGAAGAACCAGTTTACTTAGTAGTACTACCAAGTACAAGGTGACTATTGGTGAAATTCAACGACGAATCAGTCCGCCTGAATGCTTGAATGCTAGCTTATTGGGCGGGATTCTTAGGAAGTAAGTAAGGAGGGTGGGGGAGGCAGAAGAAGGGATAGGGGATGTGCGAGAAAAGGGTAGGATCAAGTTTTGATAGAGTGTGGTAAATTAGAATCAAGTAATGTAAAATAATCTAGGATAGAGCACGGTAGAGTACGGTAGGATACGGTAGGTAGAGTAGGTAGGGTCGAGTCGAAAAAGCTAAAAAAGAGCAGGGCAAAGTGGGGCAGGGCAATGTAAGAACAGACAAGGCAGTGATATTAAAGTTGCGGCAGGACAGGTAAGGCGGTGCAAAGCAAGGCAGGTCAAGTTTGGACAGAATAGGCTTGTACAGAAGGGTAGGGTAGGGTAGAGTAGGGTAGGTTAGGGTAGGGTAGGGTAGGGTAGGGTAGGGTAAGGTAGGGTAGGGTAGGGTAGGGTAGGGTAGGGTAGGGTAGGGTAGGGTAGGGTAGGGTAGGGTAGGGTAGGGTAGGGTAGGGTAGGGTAGGTTAGGGTAGGGTAGGGTAGGGTAGGGTAGGGTAGGGTAGGATAAGGTAGGGTAGGGTAGGGTAGGGTAGGGTAAGGTAGGGTAGGGTAGGGTAGTAATTTATTTTATTTCAGAGCCAAGTCAAAGGATGGTGGGAAGGCTTTGAGAGAATCTCTTCGTCGAATCGGCCTAACTTTGCCAGCCGGCCGAAGAAAGTCCGCGCATGTTACTGCATTAACGGCTTTGGTTGAAGGTAAAAGTCACTTTTAGTTTTTAAAGCAAAAAATGGCAAAAACTTTCTTTACGGAACAAAAAATGGCAAAAACTTTCTTTACAAGACAAAAAATGGCAAGAACTTTCTTTACAAAACATAAAATGGCAAGAACTTTCTTTCCAGAAGAAGCAGTCCACATGGCCCGAGACTTTCATTCAGTCTGTGAACGAGACTTCCCAGCCAAAGAGCTAGCTGCCTTTCTCTCACGTAATGTCACAAGCGATGAAGACGCCCAATCCCGACGTACTATGTTGCACTATGTTCGTATCTTCATCAAAGAACTGTCGGACCTCATGAACTCTGATCGAAGTCCGGTTTGTGCCAATCGACCTGATATTATCCTTGATCCGGTCATTCAAAAGCCATTGACTCACTTCTCAATGGTCACGCACGGCTTTGGTGGACTAGTGGTCGTATCGGTACTAGATGCACTTAATGCTTATGTCCACGAGAGCTTCAAGCATTTGGATCGGAACTATGGCCAGGTCAACTGTTATAATGGGGGTCATGGATAATATTAGACTTGATTTTGATTTTTGTCGTTTTGGACGTCAACAAGTTTGTAGAAGTTCTAAAAAATGCATTTTTTAGGTCAAGAAGTTTTTAGAAAGCATTGTAAAAATAATTTTTCTGGTCAATAAATTTGTAGAATGTTTAAAAGAAGTGTTTTTAACTCAAAATTTGTTAAAAAAAGTGAATTTGTTCAACGAAGAAGCGTTTTTAAAGACCAAAAAGTTAGGGGAAGTTATGAAAGATGTTTTTCTTAAGTCAAAAAGTTCTTAGAATTTACTGTAAAAATAATTTTTTTGGTCAATAAATTTGTAGAATGCTAAAAAAACCGCTTTTAATTCAAAATTTTTCAAAAAATAAAAATTAAAAAAAAATTTTTTTGTGGTCAATAAATTTGTAGAAAAGTAAAATTTTTATCATAAGTTTTAAAAAGTTATGCAAAACTATTATTTGTTTAATTTTAATTTAAAAATGAAAATTTCATTTTTTTGCACGGCGCAATTTTTTCAACATTATATTAGGTTGAAAAACTAGCTTAAAATAATAAACTTATGATTAAAAAATGTGTAGAATTGCCCGAAATGTCATAACACATTTGGTTTTTAAAGTTTCTATTTACTTTTTGACCAAAAATTTTTTTTAATTTTTTTGCACGGTGCAATTATTTTAATGTTTTAGTACAATGTGAAAATAGCTAGAAAAAACAAAAATTTGGTCGAAAAATTTGTAGAATTGCCTAAAATGTCATAACTAATTTAATTTTTTATGTTTTCTTTTTACTTTTTGACCTAACTTTTATTTTAGTTCGGTGCAATCTTTATTAATTTTTTTGCACCGTGCAATTGTTTTAAATGTTATAGTACAATGCGAAAATAGCTAGGAAACATGAAAAATTGGCCGAAAAATTTGTAGAATAGCCCAAAATGTCATAAAACATGTGGTTTTTAAAGTTGTCTATTTACTTTTTGACCTATACGATTGTTTTAGTTTTTTGCACGGTGCAAGCATTTTAATTCTTTTACACTGTGCAGAATATAAAAGATCTATGCACTGTGCAAACTTTTTAACCTACCCTACCTTGACCACCATTAAAAACATGAGATTTTATAACTAAAAATAATTTTTTTTATCATTGTCATAAAGTCGGTAATTACTGTTGATAAAAGCTGGTAACTAATTTAATTTTGTACTATTAAACATTCAGTAAATAACAATTCGAACATAGTGGCAAGAGATAAAGGTCAATATTAAATTGACAAACATATAATATATAAACTAATAATAACATACAATTTAAAATGGCATAACTAATACTATAGTGGATAATATACTGTATGACAGTAAATAAAAGTACAGTATGATTTTTTAGAAGTTATGTAAGTTTTCAAAGCATAATATATAGTTTTACAGTAGTTGTAAGGCAAAATTACAGTATGAAAAAAATAAAGATAAATATATCATATTATGGTACTATTTAGTACGAGTGGTACTATATAGTACCAAGAACAGTAGTATAATACTATCAAGTAAAACGAATACTAAGAACTAGTAGTACGGTACTACTCAGTACCTCAGTACTAAAAATATCAAAAATTATAGTACGATACTATATAGTACTTTCAGTAAAGTACTATATAGCACCAAAAACACAATCAAAATTTTTCAAGTTAAAGACAAAAGTTACAGTAACCACACTATCCTACAAAAGTCCTAACAATCCGGAGGCAAAATAAGAGGCGTCTGATGAGCGTTGAGTGAGATCAGAGGTATCAATTACAATGGTAAACATACTAAATGAGGTCGTATTTCAACTTTAACCTGTTGTTTATTAGGTCAAAAAGAGCGTAGAATTCAATTTTTAGCAAAGCAGAACACATTTGAGCCAAAAATGGTCCAAATCTGACTTTTTTTAAAAATGGTACTAATGGTACTGTTTTCCATAAATGGTGCTATTAATAATAATTTTTAGCTAAAAAGTAACTGATTTTCATTTTGAAGGCAAAAATAGTCCAAATTTGACTTTTTTCAAAAATGGTACTAATGGTACCGTTTTTCAGGAATGGTACTACTAGTACTCATTTTATAAAAAAAATACCTGGTGGTTACTTTAAAACCAAAACCAATCTGAGAAAAGTAAATTTTTAACCAATTGGTACCACTAGTACTGTTTTTTCAAAACTGGTACTTCCAGTGCTTTTCTTTTTTTTTTTAAACAGTCATTTTTAGACCAATTAGTATAAAAAAGGCTTAATTCAAGCAAAAAATGACACTTCTAGACACTTTTTGACCTAACCAAACGTAATTTAAAGTTCATTTCGACCCAAGTTTCCATTGGCCATAACATTGTCCACGAGCAACAACACCGCGTGTGACAGGGTTTTTAGTTGGTCGTCTAGCTGAAATTTTTAAAAATGATAAAACTAGCCATTCTCTCTATCCCTAGCTCTAGGTCTAGCCCTAGCTTTAACCCTAGCTCTAGCTCTAGCTCTAGCTCTAGCTCTAGCTCTAGCTCTAGCTCTAGCTATAGCTCTAGCTCTAGCTCTAAACATGTAGTGCCTAGACAGTCCAGAAGTTGCTTACCGGTTTGTAGAAGAAGCACTGTTTCGGGTCTTCATCTTCACCATCAGGGCAATCAACAATATGATCGCAGAGTTGTTCCCTCGAAATGCAAACGTCATATCGATGGGAATTCCTCGACGGACACAGCAATTGGTCTTTGCCGTGCATTGGTGGGCATCCTAGAATATTTCAAAATAAAAAAAAATTTTTTTTTTAAATTTAAAAATTTCGAAATTAAAAAAAATATCATAAACTAGTCTAAATGTTATAAAAACATAAATGATAACAATTTTTTATTAAGAAAATCAATTTTATACAGCTTAATTAACTCGTTAAATATTTTTTTTGAATTTTCAAAATCCCGCCAAAAGTCAAAATTCTTGCATTATGCTTCAAGCCTTAAAATAACAGAAATAAACTTAAAAATAACTTCTTGATACTTTTTCTTATTAGTTTTGTCATTTTACCTCATTTTAAAATGCTATTTTTTGAATTTTCAACAAAAAATAGACGATTTTTCTTTGAATTAGCGACAAAACTGGTTCAAACCCCCCTGAATTGGCGTTAATTGACAATTTGGAGAAGTAATTGATTTGATGAGACAGTGTAAATGACCTCAACTGTGTTCACTACATTAGAAAATTGTAGTCGGCTATTTTTAGCAAAATTAAAGAAATTTTATCCTACCCTACCCTACCATACTCTTAAATTTTGAACTTGCCTTTCCTCCTCCGTCTATGGTGATGACCAAACGAGCTCCAATCACTATACCGAGCATGCCGGTGATGCCTTGGTGAAGCAACGTCTTCATCTAAGGCACTGCTTGAGGACCTAAAAAGACAAGTTTAATAAACTAAATCACCACCTTTAAAATAGAAGCCAAAAAAAAGTTTTTATTTCACAAAAATACTGTAGTTTAAATATTTTTAAAATTTTTTTTGAAAAAGTTTTAAAAAAAAATGAACTTACGTAATATCTGCCCGAACTCGAAAAACGCCTCGTAATGAATTCGTTTCTTCATTTTCTGGAGGTGCAGACGTCTAAAAACACAAAATATTTATAAACATTTACCCAACCAAAGTTTTAACTATAACCCTAGTTCTAGTAGCTTAAGTTTTCATAGTAGCCTTAGCCATAGCCCTAGTAGCCTAACCATGGTCCTACTATTCCTAGTAGCCTCAGCAATAGCTCTAGCCCTAGTAGCTGTAACAGTCTTAGCAGCCCTAGTCCTAGTAGCCCTAGTAGCTCCAGTAACCCTAGTATTCTTAGTAGCCATGACTGTAGTAGTGCTAGCCTTAGCCTTCGTAGTCGTAGCAGCTCTAACCCTAGCTTTAGTCCAAACTTTAGTCGTAGGTTTAGCTATAGCTTTAGCCCTAGCTTTAACCCTAGCCCTAATAGCCGTAGCCATAGCCTTAACTTTAACATACTCTACATCACTTTACTCTACTTTACTTTGCTATGCCATAACAGTAAATCACAAACGCCTTAGCTCCGTACTATTTTAGTCATATCTGTCATAGTAACAACTTTTCCGTAATGCGATAGACTAAGAAAAACCTCAAAAATCGCTTGATTGGGCCTAAAAAGAAATTTCAAAGACAGTCCAGGCAAAACAATGACTAGCCTTAGTTAAGCTAGAACATTACACTACTCTGATTTTAAGTAACAAAACTTTTAAAAAATTTAAATTCAACATTTTAAATTTTTTTTAAATTTAAAAAAAATTCTCTTACCGTGCTAGTCGTAGTAGTGTCCACATCAACCTTCACCTCTTTATTCTCCACTTCTTCATTCAAAGGAATCGCTTCGGGACCCAACATTCTTCGAATCGCTTCGTCACTGTACCCTTCCAAAGTCTTCTTAATACTATGCAAAGCTTGATGCTTTTTCTGTGCCAACGGCGATTTACTGGTCGATTCGGGCATGACGGTGCAACAAATCATTGGTGCCAAAACGCATAAAATGGAAAGAATCGCCCGCGCAGAGGGCCTAGCGCTGGTCGAGCGCCCGCTCATCGGACTAGCCGCATTCAAACTGACAAGCGATTCAAATTAGGGATGGATGACACGTGTAAGCTTGGCTGAAATTCAATTTTTTTAAAACTCGAAAATAATAAAAACGCGGGTAAAATACGGGTATGAAGAAATCGCTTTAACAAATTTAAAACAAAAACAAAATGAAGTAGCTTATACCAAGAATTAAGCATAGACTTAAGCTTAAAATTAAACGCATGCTTTGAAGTTATGCTTAGGCTTATGGCTCATCAAGCTTAAGCTCAAGTTTAGGCTTATTTTTTGTTTAGGCTTAAACTATAGCTTAAGCATAAGGCTCGAACTTACGCTATACTTTGGCTTATACTAAAGCTTAAGCTTAGGCTCAAACTAAAGCATAGGCTTAAATTTAATTTCAAGTTCAAAGTTAGACTCAGGTTCTGGCTAAGGCTTATATATTATTCTTAGGCTTAGACTAAAGTTCATGCTTAGGCTTAAGCTCTGCATTAGGCTCATGCTCAAAATTAGGCTTAGGTGTAAGATGAAGTTCAAGCTCACGCTTAAGCTCAAGTTCAGGCTTGGCCTTATGTGCAGGCTTAGACTAAAGCTCAGGCTTATGATTAAGTTAAAGTTTAATTTGAACATTAGCTTAGGCTTTGACTTAAACTTAGAATTTTGCTCACATATACATTCAAGCGTCTTATTAACCTTAAATTTAAAGTTTAGCCTTAGATTAGGCTTACGTTTAGACTAAAATTTAAAATTTGGAAAAATTTACGAATTTAAAAATAAAAAAAAGTTATTGGAAAATGTGTAAAATACGCTCCTTCGATCCGCAATTAAAAAATATCGGGCTAAAAAGTAATCCTACGCACCAGTGCCGGGCAGAGACTTTTGGTCTGAGGGCGGGGGTCGAAAAAAATCTTAAAAAATCAAAATTTTCGGAAAATTCACAGGAGGACCACGTTCAACTTTTTTTTTAAAATTTTTTTTCTGGGAGGTCCCCCCCCAGCGCCCGGGCCTGCTACCCACATCCTAACCATAAATTAATCTACAATTCACCGTGCAATGACTATATCAACAATCCTACCCTTACCTCACAAACTGTCAGTTTGCCTAACTATAAACGCATTTTTTACCTTGCCCGAACTTTAAAAGCAACAGTTTTGTAGCAGAAGTTAGTTTTTTAACAACCCGTCCAACATCAAAAAGCAGTAAAAACCTACAAACAACTTTCAAGAAACAAAAAAACGTTATTTTGGTGGAAAAAACGCGACGAAAAGAGGTTTTCGCCCCGCTTCAAAAGATAAACACCACACTGATAACAATCCAAACAAAAAATTACTTTTACTCCTACAGGAGGGAAGACGTTGCGAACAGTAGGAAAAGTTGCAAACATAAAAAAAATGAGAAGAAAAGTTGCAAAATCAGTAGAAATTAGTCTACACTAGAGCTTTAAAAAAATTTGTTTCGATAGACTTGAACGTAGTAGGCTTAAGATTGAATATAATTAGCTTGATTAGCTTCCAATAAATAGGCTTGATAGTCTAAAACATATCAGACATAGACTGAGAAGATTTAAGTTTAGTAAGCTTTAGTTTTAGGTTTAGACCAAAAAGTTTAGGCTTAGGTTGTGGATTTAAACAGGCTTAGTAACCATAGAGTAAACTTAGGCTTATCAAGCTTAAGCTTAGAAAGCTTAGGCTTAATAAATTTAGGTTTATTGAGAATAGGCTTAGTAGTCTTAAGCTTAGTAGGCTTAGGCTTAATAAGCTTAGGCTTAATAGGCTTAGGCTTAATAGACATAGGCTTAGTAGGCTTAAAATTAGTGGTATTTGGCTTAGTAGGTTTAGGCTTAAAAGCCTTAGATTAAGTACGCTTAGGCTTAGTAAGCTCAAGTTTAGTAGGGTTAGGCTTAGTAGGATTAGGTTTAGTAGGCTTAGGCTTAGTAGACTTAGGCTTAGTAGGCTTAGGCTTAGTAGGCTTAGGCTTAGTAGGCTTAGGCTTAGTAGGCTTAGGTTTAGTAGGTTTAGGCTTAGTAGGCTTAAGCTTAGTATCTAGGTTTAAACTAGTAGCCATAGGCTTAGTAAGCTTAGACTGAGAAGGCTTAGGCTTAGTAGGCTTACACTTAGTAGGCTTAGGCTTGTTAGGCTAAGGCTTAGTAAAGAAACTTTAAGATTTAAAATTTTTCAAACTTCACGTTATTTTAAATAGTCTAATAAAATGATAAACTGTCAAACCCCCAAGAATTTGACGAATTTGACGTTACTGTATAATTAGAAGAGTAAAAATAAATACCACACATAAATTACAGCGACAAGGAACAAGATGAATGGAGCGGTTTTTGTAATAGCAAAGGACCGGAGGGAGACATACCAGTAAGTAATTACCTTTGTAAGTGTAAATAGAGTTTAAAGAATCACAAAAGTGATAGAAGATACAGTACATAGTACACTTAAACCAGTTTTTATGAAATTTTAGCCTAAAGCCCTTACTCAGAGCCTAGAGCCCTAGCCCAAAGCCCTAGCCCAGAACTCTAACCAAGAGCCCTAGCCCAAAGCTATAGGCTAGAGCTGTGGCTCAGAACTATAGCCCAAAACCCCAGCCCAGAGTCTTGGGCCAGAGCCCCAACCCGGCCTAGAGTTAAACTTAGGTCGGGCATAGGCCTGAAAATTAAGGTTCGGCCCAAAATAGCCCAGCCCGTTAAAGGGAAAAAAACCAGGCAAAGCCGGGTCAGCCTAAGTTAAAAACGAAAACGGGCCGGCTCTAAACCTTAGGCTCTGGGCCCGGGCCAAGGCTCAAAAGTGTGTTCGGTTTGGCCCATTTCTTACCTCTAGCCCAGAGTCCTATCCCAGAGTTCTAGCTTAGAGTACTAGCCCAGAGCCCTAGCCCAAAGCCCTACACAAAGGCCTAGCGTAAAGCCCTAACTTAAAGCTTTACCCGGAAAATCCAGAGTTCTAGCTTAGAGCCCTAGCTCAGAGTCCCACCCACATCCTAGTCTTACCATATCCTGTGATACCAAATCTCATCCTACCTCCTATCCTCTTTACTCGCCTAGAACAAAATTATTTGCATAACACTAGTATGTACATCACTATTTTTAGGCTTGTACTATAAGTACACGTATAATATATAACTATCACATATAATAATAACAATAATATTAATAATGATAACAATGTATAATAGCCCCAAATGTCACGTGTTTGATCGAAAAAATGATATTGTGTATGTTTTTAAAAGTTCATTACAATCAAGAAAAGAGTACAAATGTTATCAGAAGAAAATAAATTAATTTGTTCCAATCAGATCACAATGTTAGGAAAGCGCCCAAATTAACTCTCCTTTCACAACTCCTTCCTTGTTAAACACTCAAGGTGGAGTTGGGTGGAACTACAGTGAAAATAAAAAAAAATTAAATTTGAAAAATATACAGAAAACTGTTAATTACCCTAAAAAATAAAAGAAAAGTAAGAGGAAGAGGAAGAAGAACTTAAGTTAGAATAAAAGAAGGCACGGCACGGTAGAATGACGCAAGACTTAAAATAAGGCAAGGCATGGTATCATAATTCAAGGCAGAAGTAGAATCTGAACATCAAGCCCTAGTCCGGCCTGTAGGGTAGGGTAGGGTAGGGTAGGGTAGGGTAGGGTAGGGTAGGGTAGGATAAAGTAGGGTAGGGTAGGGTAGGGTAGGTAAAGCCATCCTTCTCTTTCTTTTCTACTCTGTAGTAAATACTGTAAGTAATATTTCTCTTCCCCCCCCCCCCTCTCTTCCAACGAAATACATTCTTTGTACTCTTAACACACATTAACCTACTTAGACACCGCACCACACCTGATTTTTTGTAAATTTTTACAAAAAACGGCCCAAAATTTGTGTAATTTAGCAGAAACGTCCCATGTTTACTGTAAGAAAAATTCATTTTAAAGCTGAGGTAGGGCAAAAAACGGGCAAACTGTGGTCTAAAGGGGGTGTCAATGGTCTAAAAAAGCAAAAAATTTATTTGAAAAAATTTAAAATTTTAAAAAATTTTTTAAAATCTGAAAAAATTATCATTTTCCTTGCTTTTTTATCTCTAATTTCTACCTTTTTACTGTCAAACTTAACTTAGTCGTCAACAACTTGACCTATTACAACCAGACAAAATTGAAAAAATATTTGTCAAAAACTCGTCGATGAACCGCAATTTTGTTGATTAAAAGTGCGTTCAACGACAAAATATTTGCTCTCAATTTATGAAAAAAGCGGTGGAAAATACGTTGAAAATGAAGAAAATGACCGTGAAGAAAGGGTGATTTACTAGGAACAGACCTAATATACATAGACGGTAGGGTAAAGAATTAAGGTAGGGAAAAGTAAAGTAAAAGAAAGTAAGAAAGAAGAAAAAGAGAAAGTTAGTCAAGATAAGGTAAAGCAGGGAAATATAAGGCAGGGTAAGGTTCGGCAAGGTAAGACAAAACAAAATAGAAGAGAACAAGATACGGTAGTAAGTCAAGGTAAGGTATAACAAGACAAAGCAGCACAGAACGAGATAAAGCAAAATAACGTTGGTTAAGATAAGTTAGGACACAATAAAGTTGAGTAGGATAACGTATTTAAGATTGATGTAAAGCAAAATAAAAATAGTATAAATTAGAGTGGAATAAGATAGAAGAGAATAAGGTAAGGCAAGAGAAAGCAGGGTAGGGTAAGATAAAGCAGGGTAAGGTAGGGCAAAATAAGGTAGAACAGATTGTGATTCGACAAAAAAAAGACAGATTAAGGTAAGGTAAGATAGAGCGAGATAAAGTTGAACTGGATAAGACATAATAGGGAAGACCAATGTAAAGCAAAATAAAGAACGGCAAGCTAAGATAAAGTAGGGTAAGGTAGAGCTGAATAAGAGGGACAAGATAAGGTCAGACAAAGTAAAGACAAATGAGTAAGTAACAAGGTAAGGCAAGATGAGATA